GTATCAGGGGAGGGTAGACAAGGGAGGTATCGATTAGTGGATCAGGGGAAGACATGGCATGGTGAATTTAGATGTGAGGCAATCAGGAGGAGAGTCATTGAGATTGTTTGTCTGCTGACCACGACTGTCCATTTGCTGACACCCCCCCCTCCTTACAGACACACACACACACACGATACAACTCTCACCCGATACTTTGCGTTTTTCTTGTTAGTTTCGCTCTGATGCTTTGGAACAGGAGACATTGTATCTTTCCAGCTTTTTATGTGTATGTGTTTTCAACAATGTCAGCTTCTTCCTTTTTTTCCCCTCCAGTGAAGAAGATCGTTTTTACTGGTCTGGATGAAGTCCAGAGAGCTTAATCCCAAACCCAAAGGCATAACAAGCCCAATCACTGTCGTCACTTTGCATTATTTGTTTGTGTTTTTTAACAGAAACCAGCAAGATGATAACAAGACTAGGAGGGGGGGGGCACAAATAATGAAGAGAATATTCAGTCAGGCGGTAATGTACATGTAAATCTGATGTAAAGTTCTGGCAAGCCGAGCATGGGTCAGGATAATGAATGCCGCAGGTTTGCCCCTGGCTGTTGTGGTGGTTGTCAGCGCTTAAAAGAGCTTGTTATTTACAGGAAGACCAGCCGGATTTGCCTGCTTTCTACATTGTCTTCCTCTGTCCTGAATAATGTTTTTCTAGTGATAGAGATTGCTGCTATAGAGCATATTCAAGAGCTGCAGCGGCCTCTGCAAAAACTTTTTTAGTATTACTAGCTCAGAGCACACAGGCTTTTTGATGTGTTTTTGGTGTGTTGGAATGCATGTTCAACATGTAGCCGTAGTCTCATTTAGTACTAATAATAATACAAATAATGATAACGATGCTTCATCTTGATACCCAAAGTGCTCCACAGAAACGGGGACAAACTCACCTCAACCACCACCAGTGTGTGGCACCCAGATGGGGTGATGCACGGCAGCCATTTGCGTCAGAATGCTCACCGAACATCAGCTTGAAATGGAGATGCAGGGAAATAGAGCCAATTACACTGGGGGATGATTAGGTGGCCAGATGGAGAGAGCCAGGTTGGGAATTTTGCCAGGACACTGGGGAATCCCCTACTCTTTGATGTGGGATCTCTAATGACCACAGTGAACCCGGACCTCGGTTTAATGTCTCATCCGAAGGACCTTGTCTATGAAACATAACACTAAATCCCTCTTACAGCACATCTGCAACCCATAGAACAGAATCAACTTTATTATCACATATACAATCATACACAGTACAATGCAATGTCAAATGTAACCTCTGCATTTAACCCATCCCAAGTACTCTTGCAATGGGCAGGCAGCCAGTGTATGGCGCCCAAGGACCAACTCTAGATCTAAGCTAAAGCCTTGGTCAAGGGAAGTGACTGCAGAAATGAACCTTAACATACATGTTTTTGAGTGCCCAGAGCACCCGGAGAAAACCCACACAGACACGGGAAGAACATGCAAGCTCCACACAGACATGCCCCAGCAGGGAATCCAATCCACACTGTGCTTTGTGCTTTTTAAACAAAGTATAATAAAGCTTATTCACATTTATTCAAAGTCAAAGGCAAAGTACAAAGTTTGCTGTTCTGTAGCTTTTGAACATATGACAGGATCTTCCTCAGCAAAAGCAGTTGCACATTTTTCATGGAAATGTACATTTGTGCAATTTTCCATTTTTTTCCAAGCACTTAAATAGAAAATAAAAAACTTTATCTGCTTTGCAGCTGCTGTATTCAAGGTCAGGAGTGCAGTTTCAACTAAAGTAAGGCTGTTTCTGCTGCCAAAGTAGAAAGAAAAATTACAGATAGTCTGAATAAAATAAATAAATGCCTGATAAGGTCTATCTTAGATTATTTTTATCTAAATAAGAAATAATTTTCTTAAGAAAGGACAACTTTAAGTATACTAAGTTCATATCTTAAAGGGTCCGTGCTGTACATTTCAGGGAGGGATCTAATTGGTCAGAAATGCAAATTATAATATTTCCATAGGTATGTTTTCATTAGGTGTGTAATCAGCTGAAATAGGAAATCAATGTGTGTTTTGTTGCCTTAGAATGAGCTGTTTTATTCTCTACATAGGGAGCAGGCCCTCTTCTATGGAGATTCCGGCCAATGTTGACCCACCACCATGTTTTCTACAGTAGCCCAGAAAGAACCCAACCCAAACATTCGGTTGGTAGATAAGGCCTTTTGGGTTTTTTATAAATTGTGTTGCCACCATAGTTTCTGCTACATGCTTGGAAGATTGAGCTGTATTCAGTTGGTTGCAATCTGTAATTACACCACTAGATGCCACTAAATGCTACACGCTGGTCCTTTAATTATTTCAACATAACATTAATCTTTATTTATTATTTATTAAGAGTTTAAATGACCAGTGTTTAAAAATTTGTGGCATCTAGCAGTGAGATTGTAGAAACTACAATGACCATGAAACTTGTAAAAAAAAAAAAAAATTACATATTTGGATTTATGTACCAAATGTGGACTCTTTGTCATGCAAACTGCTGTGTTTTGTTCTTCTTGTAAATTATTTAAAGCCTAGCATAGGTTACCATGATGATGTAAACTGGATCCCAAAGTCAAGTAGTAGCTGTAGCCAGGTACTGTTTTAAGACAGCTACAGTACCTTTGGGTACTGAACTCTTCTCCGTACATGACACACAGACATGAGATTGATATCAGTCTTCTTCTATATCTTACAATCTTACGCAAGTGGATGGCAAAATACAGAAAACAGAAGTTGTGGCTCCCTCTCTTTCCTCATTTGTCCATCTTTGTAATCTTTACTGAGATGCCACCTGAAGCTTCTGCAGATTAGAAACCTTGTCGACTCTCTTCAGGTCAATCAGTCAAGAGATTAATATTGTTTTGATTAGCCCTTCTGTCGACATCTTATTTCCTTCAGAAGTGTGTGCGTTCTGTCAGTTTGTATATCTTCTTCCTCTCCTCTCCTCCTTTCAGTTCAGGCTCATGTTTACCTAACCTTGCTTTTCATACCCATTCTAGCTTGGCTATTGTGTGATCAAAAAGTTTCTTTTCAATGAAAGAGGGCAATTTCTCAAGATGTGCAAGTGTTGCAAATGAGGACTGGAAGGAGACCGGAGGGAATATGAATAAATACAAGATTCATGTCGCTTTGAGATTTTGCTCTAATATTAAAAGGGCGCGAAGATCCTCAGAGTTTCTTGGTTAGAAATAATGAGTTGCCATTGAGGTCTAACCTAGAGAGAGAGAGGGGGGG